GAATTCAGGACTATAGGTGTTTCATCATAGCAAGGCATAGAGGCATTGTGCTACATGCTTGGGGCTGTCAAAGTCAACTGCTAGCCCACTGCTGGGCTAACCTAGAAGAAAGGTTGACAGGCTTCGAGTTGCAACTAATGGAATTTAAAAAATATAGATTTTTTGGGGTGGGTCTGAGGTGCTAGAACAACTCGCCCTAAATCTGATGTACACAATTATTTCTCAAAATGCACCTTATAAATTATATTTCTTAATTCAAAATCCACTATGCATGTGTATGGAAATAAAGAAAAAATACAGAAAGGAGAAGGCATAAAGATAGGGAAAGGCTAACTACAGGCAAACAACAATGTAGAGAAATGATGCAACATCGACTATGGTCAAACTAATGACAAGCTCGGTGGAGAGAAGCAGTGTGAAGGATTGAATTAACTTTAAGGAGAGAAGCTAATGAGTCCATGGTGGCTGAGAAAAACACTCACGTAGTCTGGCTTACCTCATTAATTGTTTAAACTGCTTACGCATTTAACACCTTCTAGTGCTGCCTGCAAGGCCTTTGAATCCTGGAAGCAAAACAGCACATGCATAACCTGACATTTGGTGAGGAGAAAAGCCTGCACTACTCTGAGTCATCCTGGATGTTACTATACATTTTCTGTTTTCAATCATTCCAGCACTGACAAATCTATTAATGCCATGTGTCACATACTGTCGAGTGAGGTTATGAAAAAAAGAGGACTTGTTCAGGATCTTCAAACCCTTTTGGTATAGTTAAATCTAGCTTTAGTGAAACACAAGGATGCTTGTAATTATGTGAATTGGACAAATAATATAGTGAGCATTAGTCTGACCATTGTGATTTGTTGAAGCCTAACTGAATATAGTCGCTTTTCAGTTTTCACTTTAGTGAAAGAGCAGGAAAGGGAACCACTTTCTTTGAAAATTTTTATGTGTATGTTGTGTTTTCAGATGTCAAGGTGCAACGTTGATCTTAAGTGCGGCTCCTTCCCTGACATCACCTTCTTTTTCCTTTGTATTTATTGTTAGTTTTAATAAATTCCTGCTTGCTTAATTTTAACCTTTGCATGGACTCCCTCCTTGTCACTTTCATCGAGTCAGGTTGTGACATGTCAATACAGCTCTGTGGCCAGTTGTTTTGGGTGCCAAAACACAACACACCATTATGACACTGAAAGCAAGGGGTTGACAATGGACTAGAGGAAACCATTGAAACACTGCAGAAATTTTAAGTGGCTCACTTTCTTTGTCTTCTTACAGACTCCAGTGCAGTTGTCACTTTATTTGCCATCTAATGAGCTTTGTGTGGTTGACTTTGGTGCAAGCAGAGGCAAGATAAAGACATTATTTCCTCCCAGAAGAATGTACTTCCTATGGTTGGTCTGAGCACTTATAACAACAAAAGGACAAAGTGATGGAAAGGTAAAGGCTGCTCTGGGTTGGAGTGCCTACTGATCTCAAAAAATCTCATTTTTCATCACTTATTGAAAAAGAGTTTTATTTAAACAGATCCGCCTTAGACAACAATAAAAATATAAAGCTTGTGCAAAGCGCACTGCAAGTGAACTGAAATCAAATAATATTTTGGTTTTTAATGTGGAGGGATTAATGCACCTGATACCAGGCTTCATTCTGAGCCATTTAATAGGTCATAATATTGACAGCTTGTGGCAGTAACATGCAGTTTTTATCATCAGCAATTCCTTTGCATGGCTTTAAGACTGGCTGTGGCTGTAATCTTAATGAGATGCTTGTAAGAAATCAATCACAGAGCATATCACAACAACTACGTCAAGGTGTATTGCAGTAGCTTGAGAATGCAACACTGCCCAGGTAGTATTTTTAATGAACCCACACTTCAAGGGCAAGAAATGTAACAAATTTTATAAATCAATTTCATTCCCAAATGAATGAAAAATATATATTCAGGCTCATATGAGGACAAAATAATTGCCCATTTCTACACCTTATTCCTGCTCTAAGAGTTACTGTGATAAAGAAAAGGTACAATAACCAAAGGAACTGTTCCAAAGCTTGCAGCATTGCAGTTCTTTGCCACAGGTGCAACAGGTTCCATTACCTACTAAACAACTAGTTTTAAATATTCAGTGTAGTCAGGGAGTAACGTTTATGGTCACGCATGCATTTCAGTGGCTTATTTGGTTACACTTGCATCATCAGTCTATCCATCCATCCATCATCTATAGCACTTATTCCTGAATAGGGTCATGGGGGGGGGCTGGAGCCTATCCCAGCTGACATTGGGAGAGAGGCGGGGTACACTCTGGACAGGTTGCCAGTCTATCACAGGGCTTACATGTATACAAGCAGCCACACACACACTCATACTCACGGGTAGTTTAGAGTCACCAGTCAACCTAAGCTGGTGGAAGGAAGCTACAGTACTCAGAGAGAAACCACGCAGGCACAGGGAGAACATGCAAACTCCACACAAAAAGGCCCGGGCTCAAACCTTCTTGCTGTGAGGCAACAGCAGTAACCACCACATCATAAGTTTCATAAAAGAATGCTAAATTGACTTATCATTAATAAAGTCCTTCAGCAACACTTGTTTCCTAGTTCCTGAAAGCTGCTGCTCAATATGCAGAGGGCTGAGATGATCCTCACATGCTTCAAGCTACATTTGATATAAATCATGAATTTCCTGAGTCAAGATAAAAGCTAGAAAATGGCATCCTCATTTATGGTCACACTGATTTCCCCCTGCTGTTGTAGCAAGCTTTCCGTCAATGACAAAAAAGTCTTCTCTCCTCATATCCAGCTGTCCCTATTCTATGGGACAAAAATCTCTTCAATCTGATTAAGTACTTTTGGATTTAGCTCCTAGGCTGAATAAGCAAAGAGGCCTATATAAAACCAGCTTTGTCTTCCCAACAGAGATCTAGTCTACAAGTGAGTCAGACTTTGTGTGTTGTGTCTGGCACCTGTCAGTGGGTCTGCAAAAACAGCAGGTTGGATAAATTAAACATGCTATGCTTCATTTGAGCAACTGGGTTTTTATCCCCTCATGACTATCATTTTTCTGAAGTGAAAAACTCCAAGAATAGAAACAGCAAACTGAAAAAAAACACAGCCAAGGGAATCTGCTTATTTCACAATGTCTCTACCAGGGGCTTAACTAACTCAAATATAATTCCACTGAAGACACTCAATGAAAATAACAACTGTTGATATAATATAGCACATTGAGACTTGGCAGTGTTGTTTCTGAGGAACACAGAGAACCCTGTGCTTCCTTGGCTCTTCTGGCTTATGTAAAAATGTGTTCTTTTTAGAAGCCAAGGGAAATAGGACTATATATTTATTTGTTTATATTTTCTGACCTCAACCAAACAAAGCCAGACAGACGGGTGATTATGTTGTTTGCTTTCCCATTCTCTGACATGAATGAATATAAAGGCAAATGCTCAGAAAAGATGGCATCTTATTATGTGCCATTTGTATGGTTTCTGTGTGACTGAAGAGAAGAGATGAAGCACATTAAGAAGGATAATTGCTTTGGTCAATAATGTCGGGTTGCTTTTTTTTACATTTCATTATGGCGAGGACAGGTTCTGGGCTGTTTCAATCACAGAGAGATAAATAAAAGGACATTGGAGCCAGAAGAGGCCCAGATCCCAGGTAAATGAGTGCTTTATGAGGAAGATTAGTGCAAATCCCTCACACACAGCATCGGCACATGTGGGACAAAGCAGGCTACCTTCATCTCATACATTCCCCTGGCAATCGATCAAAGCCCCCAAATCGCAGATGCACACACAGAGAGGAAGGAACAGGTGAGACAGTATGACAGCCTGAACTGGTAGCTATTGCAGTGACAAATGGCAGCGTCCTCTGACACAGAGCCACCCAGTCATACTCTTGGGATTCATATATTAAAGAAACACAACCACCGACAAAGCAGTGTCCAGGTCCCATATACAGTAACAGGGAAGTGGAGTCTCATTGGAATAGTACTTGGATTGTATAGGCAACCCCCGGATCCTATCTGCACTGAGAACTGCTTATTAAATCTATGTTAACCTGCAGTATCAATACATGCATCAACAGGAAGAACAAAATGGGACAAACACACAGCTGCTCTGTTTAGGGAAACACATTTCTCATCCCCTCAATGAGCATATAGCTCCTCCCCAGGCAGCACTAAGCACTCCCATTACAGACATGCTCACATACAAACGTTCATCAAAAAATGCTGATTGAAAACTCATAAGACCCATGAAGGTGGGGGAGGAAAAGAAGAAAACAGAGAGCTGAGAAATGGGTGCAGGTGATGGGGGGTGAAATAAGAAGAAAATGCAAGAGGAAAAGAGAAAGCAGAGGAGTTTCCTCTGACCCACTCAAACGTTGTATGTCTACTCTATGCACCAGTGATCCCTGTACTGCTGTAGCGCAGGTATACCACAGTAAAGACAACTTGCGGAGGGAGCAGAGTACTCATTAATGGAGCCCCATGTCACTTCAGTATGCCAAACACCATCTGCATTCTCTCACTCAGACACACACACACCTCTGCTTTTCCTGGGGTAAAGCAGAGGTGTGTGTGTGTGTATTCGCTCAGACACACACACACACACACACACACACACACACACACATCTCCGCTTTACCCCAGGAAAGCGGAACAAATAGAGAACCCAAGAACACCTACAGTTTATTTTTATTTTAAAATGCAATCAAAATGACAAATCTAATAAATCTGACAAAACATTTCCTATAACCAACCTGCCCCAAGTGCATCAGCAGAACTTCTGTATCCTCTTACACTCAGCGCTGAACAATCCCAATAGGGAATGTATTAATATGTATTTCTTTATCAAAGCAATACTCACTGTAGTACAGAAACAACCCCACTAGTGTAATCCATGCCACTTGACTGCAGAAGCATTTACCATAGAGGAATACAGATTGAAGTAGGAGGAGAACTAAAAAGCAGTGTAGGTAGGTAGCTGATTACATACCGTTGGGGCTCTCCTCATCAATGGTGACTATGGTCGCAGGGGGTCCTCCCCTAGATAGTTTACACTCTGCACACACAAAGAGAAAAATAAATCAACATTAAAGAAGCTTCATTCCCATTTTCTATATTTAAATCATTTAATTTTCAGGCTCAGTCTATTTTGCTTCATGGTAGCTTATGAAAATGACTATATTAGGCATAATAAAATAAATTACAAATAAATTTGGTATGGCAATGTGTCAATAAAAAGCAGTGGCAGAAAATAACTGTGCATTTACTTAAATACTGCACTAACATTAAGTACAGCACTAGCCAACTTTTTGGCTCATGACAACAAAAGCAGCCCTGTATTCTTGGGCTCCTTGTCATGTTTTATATTTCGATGACTTATTAGCAGTTCAACAAATGGCCTAAACAGGTAAAATGATTAATATTTCACAGAAAAGTAAAGATTACAAAAAGGTACAAAAAATGAATTCAACTGTTTTTCATATTTCCTACCCTATTAATCCTCTTCTGGCCCCAGATTTATTGTCTCCCACTGGGGACACAATCCTAGGCTTCAAAGTGCTGTATTTAAGTACCTAGCTTTATGCAAAGTAATTAGAAGTAGCTTCACTTCCACCAGCTTCAGTGTGGAGAAAATGTTCAGTAGGTAATAAAGTAATATTTATTAATGTATCAGTCACAGGGGCCAGTTTTTAGTTGTGCTTTAAGAACTGCTCTTACATTTGTTCCTTCACTTGCATACAATTTAGAATGAAGGACTTGCATACAATATTGTCTGATTATTGCCAACAGCAGCATTATCACAGCAGCAAAAGCATCTGGCAAACAATTGCTGCCAATGTAAATATTTCATTGCACTAAGGAAATAAAATTTCAGAATGTTGTTTCAGTGTCTGTCATCCCATAAGCTGTCATGGTGACATCTTTTTTTAATAGCAGGTGGCATCAGTGACTGCTACCACACAATCATCAACACAAATGGACTGTATGAGACCGACACCAGACAAACAGGGTGGTCAAAGCATGTGGCAACATCATAAGCAGAGCACCGACGAGAGCTGCTTCACAGATGGAGGTCACAGCAGCTAGATGGTACGAGCACATGGGACACAGGTAATGGCAGCTTGACAGACAGCACCAGATGGGGCAGCAGGAGAGGTGGAGAGGACACAGGCAGAAGGGAGGCGTCTAGTGTAGGGGAATAGGTGCTACAAGGCAACACGCTCTGCAGCTGATCTGTGGAAAGTTCAGAATTAAATGTCCTTCAAAAG